GTGATGATCGCAATGATTAAAAATAAAAATAAAAGGAATAAAAGGACACTCCAAGAACATCACATAATATGTGAAAAAATAAAACCATAGGTCCAACCAAGACAAACCAACAATTTTAGAGGAAGAAGGGGGCAGGTGCCTCGGGCATCCCCAAGTTCAGAAGGTTGAGATATCTTGAAATTATTTCTTGGGAATTTCTTAGGCATCCCCAAGCTTCAGTGCTTGCATCTCCAAATTTCCTTCGTATCGTTGTCTCCATGGGTCTTAAAAACTTCATTCACACTAAATTACACAGACTTTGTGAGGTAGGTTACTCCAAAAAAAAATGTTCACATGTTTTAAAGTTCGTATTGGAGATATGCCCTAGAGGCAATCATGTATGATGATATTTCTTATGTGTTTATGAATAAAGATAGTCCTTGGACATTATCAATGATGTGTATCAAAAAGTACATGACTTGTTTGTGGGACTATGCATTGTATGATGACTGTCCTAAAAGGTCCCTGGTCGAAAGGGTTGTGTAGATGCACAGCCGACTAGACTAGCACATGACACGGTGGATGGCTCGACCTCACTAGCCGTGGAGCATTGGATGTTAACCGGATAGTATGGACTCTGAAGGATCTGTTCGGATTCGACTTAATCAGGTCCGAGTCGAGATAAGGCCCCAGACGGACATACTCAACCATGAGACACGGCGATATGTCCTCTATGAGTCTCTAGTACAACATATGTTCTATATCCTAAGACCTGAGCTGGCGCATGTACTCGAGATGGTAACAGGCCAGCTTTGGGCCGATCAAACGCTACTCCGTAACTACAAAGGTAGTTTTCGGGCTTGTCCAGACCCATGCTGCGAGACATGGTCGGGCAAGATGGGATTTTCCCCTACGATCAGGAGAGATATACTCTAGGCCCCTCGTGTGACCCGACCAAGATAAGCATGGCCATGCCATAGGGATTATGAGATAATCTGGTTTGTGGTCGGCATCACTGAAACGAGAAAGAGGTCGGGCCACAAGGATGACAGACTCGACTTGAGCCCGACAACTTATATCGTGTGGCAAAGGAAAAAAGAAGTGTGACATATTGTACATGTTCGCCCAACTAGCTTCATTGGACACTTGAAGTCGGCACACTTTGCTAGAAGCCGCTACGAACTAGCCTAGGAGGATGTGATCTAACTCGCGATTAAGTGAACGAGAACCTAACAGGTCGCGCACTTAAGGTTAGGAACCTGAGAGGCCGGATCCGACTCCCCGAGTTAGGTGTGATCCTACTCGGATTCGGATTCAGGCCGAACAGACTTTGGGCTTTAGGATTCGTGCGAGGCCCAAGTGTTGAGACCACGATGGATGCCTATATAAAGTGGAGGTGCAGCACACTTATTTGGTTGATCGCTTCGGTGCCGTCACTAGGTTTTGCATGTGTGGCGAATAGCCACCTCCATTCGTTGTTGACTGTGTGATTGGATCTAGCAGTCCGTCACACGGTGTTGCTCCTGCATGCGCGGATACCCTTAGAGGCGGTGCACTTGCGCCGCTCCGGCGAACCAGTACGTGGGATCCGACGACCGGTTGTTCGAGGAAGATCGGAAAGGAGGAGACGACTCTAGAGACGCGCTGCCCCAACTCTACTTCCGTTGCATGGCACAGCGCGTCTAGTGGTAACGATCTGTGATCCATCTCTCGTAGCATGTTTCTGGATGTTCTGCGGATAGGAATTTTAATTTGCAGTCGACGCACCCTACCGTAGAACCCAACAGTTTGTTCACCTAATAATGGCTTGTTGTGAGCAAATTATAAAGTTGTAAATAATCATTAGCTATTGCATGTTAACACAATTTTAAAATTCAATAAATAGCAAATATACACAAATTAAAACAAGTTAAAGAAGAATATGTCAAAAGAGAACAGTACGTAAAGGTGCAATATTTAAGAATACTCCTCTAACTCAGGAAAAACTTTTGAGAAAAGTAGCACGCACAGAGAACAAATACATGTATATTGTGTAATTGTTTCGTGCAAGGTTGTAAAAATTGTGATTCCATTGTATAATTCTATGACTTTACGATTCAAACTAGCCACTCAGATTTTAGGATTTTGATTAGTGGAATCTACGTTTTTATGATTCGGATAGTTAAAATTCTACGATTTGCGATCCAATCATCGAGCTCTGACCCGATTCAGAATCACGATTCTGACAACCTTAGTTTCGTGGTTCATCATCTTATTTTTCTAAATCATATGTTAGCAATGAAACTTTATGTTTCATCACAACAGCACATATAATTGCAAACTTAACATGCTAAAGGAATTTTTTGTACTTTATTAAAGAAAAATATAAAAAATATTGCTACATAACATGGCAATCTTATTGACTATTAAAAAGGGATAAATATTGGTAGCTAGGCATGGTATTTTTGGGATAGCTTAAGTCTTCTGATTAATTTTTTCCAGGGAATAATTTGCTCTCACTATTGTTTCATATGTTAGAGCAATTTCAATGGGACGACCCATTTTGTCCATTTGGGTCATTCGGACACAAAACTCATCCCAACAGGGCGACCCAAACGGACATAGCGTCCGCCTGCTGTTCGTTTGGTGTCCGTTCGGACCCATTTTGGGCTCAAATCTGTGAAAAAATTGGGTCAAAAGCGGACACAAAGCGGACGTTCTTTGTGCCCTCTTCGCCCCCCTTTGTCCGGTTGCATGTAGATCTTGGCCCACTTGCCATCCACCCATCTGTCTCATCCCATCTCTTTCCTCCTTTTCCTCTTTCTTCTCCCACCCACCCACCCACCCGGCTCGAGAGCTGGAGCAGCACCTAGCCGCGCATGCTCCCCCGCGCACAGCAGCAAAGAACAGGCGGGCTTGTCCTCCTTCGGCGCCGGCGCTCCGCCGTGGTGGGCTCGTGCTCCTCCGTCGGACATGCCAGGCCGCGCCCGTCGACTTGCCTCGCCCCGGCCTCGCCTCGCCGTGCCCGGCTGCACCCAGCCTCACCTGCGCCTGCGGCGTACGGGACGGCGGTGGGCCCTCGCCGTTGGTCTTGGCCCGCTCGCCGCACTCGGCAATCGGCACCGACACCACCCTCCTCTCCACAGATCTACGGCTGCAATCAATCGCAAACAAACATACTCACTCAATCGTCCGCCACCTAATCAAGATTCGAGATTCGACTGGTTCCATGGATGAACAGAGATGCGTGTGTGTGTGTGTATGTACCTGCGCTTGGGCGGCGACAGCGGGGACGACGGCGAGGGGTGCTCGCGCTTGCTCTGGCCTCCGCCGAGCGACTCGGCGTCGGCGAGGGCTGCTTGTTAACGGAGTCCGCCCACGGCGAGTCGATGCATGTGCTGCAGTCCGACATCGGCAGCGCCTCGCCTAGGTATGCACGCCCGGCCGGCCCCGGCGGAATCAGATATGGACGGCCGGTACCGGCGACGTTCCTCGCTACAAGCTCTCTGCCTACTACGTGTTCGACGGAATGCCCAGACGGGCATGTCAAAATATGCGTTCGTCCCCCGTTGGGCGTATCGGTCACCAATTGAAAACGCGGACGCGGACGAGCGGACGGGTGACCCAAACGGACAAAATCGATGTCCGTTTGGGTCTCCCCGTTGGAGTTGCTCTTAATTCTGTTTTCTTCATCAGAAAATATTTCATCCATTTCCTCACCGGGAATTAAAACTCTATGTCTGTTCCTTCATGTGAATAACAGCACCAACCGTTCATAGAAATGGTCTTCCTAATATGACGGGATATGAAGGAGCTCTATCGCCCGTGCCACCTCCTTGGGCGGCACACTCTCCCTTTCTTGTATCATGTCATTTCTTAGATCTTGGCAACAAGAGCAGGAAGAGCCCGTTACATATGCACTATATTCACAATCTTGTAATTTATTTCAAAAGTGGAAATATGGTGTGTATATATTACTCATCTTTGTCTCTCCCTATAGAGAGAAAAATGGATGGGTGCATGACGTCATCGAGAACTCTTCTAGAGTGCAATGGTGAGCAAAAACAGTTGTGAACTCACCCACCCAGCTAGATTCTCACTTGAGATATGGTGAGTAGCGTGTCTAACCCCCACCACATCTCAGGAAAAAAGGATGTCGTGTTAGGATAATCGAATGCACACACTCAAGTACCGTTCATAGAAATGGTCTTCCTAATATGACGCGACATGAAGGAGCTCTATCGCCCGTGCCACCTCCTCGGGCGGCACGCTCTCCCTTTCTTGTATCCTGTCATTTCTTAGATCTTGGCAACAAGAGCAGGAAGAGCCTGTTACATATGCACTATATTCAATATCTTGTAATTTATTTCAAAAGTGGAAATATGGTGTATATATATTACTTCTCTTTGTCTCTCCCTATAGAGAGAAAAATGGATGGGTGCATGACGTCATCGAGAACTCTTCTAGAGTGCAATGGTGAGCAAGAACAGTTGTGAACTCACCCACCCAGCTAGATTCTCACTTGAGATATGATGAGTAGCGTGTCTAACCCCCACCACATCTCAGGAAAAAAGGATGTCATGTTAGGATAATCGAATGCACACACTCAGGTACCGTTCATAGAAATGGTCTTCCTAATATGACGGGACATGAAGGAGCTCTATCGCCCGTGCCACGTCCTCGGGCGGCACGCTCTCCCTTTCTTGTATCCTGTCATTTCTTAGATCTTGGCAACAAGAGCAGGAAGAGCCCGTTACATATGCACTATATTCACAATCTTGTAATTTATTTCAAAAATGGAAATATGGTGTATATATATTACTCCTCTTTGTCTCTCCCTATAGAGAGAAAAATGGATGGGTGCATGACGTCATCGAGAACTCTTTTAGAGTGCAACGGTGAGCAAAAAACAGTTGTGAACTCACCCACCCAGCTAGATTCTCACTTGAGATATGATGAGTAGTCGTGTCTAACCCCCACCACATCTCAGGAAAAAAAGATGTCATGTTAGGATAATCGAATGCATACACTCATGTACTCAACTATTCTACGAACCAACCCAAATCCAAAGGCTCGAACCAGTGGGACTCCACCATGAAATCCAGTCCCAATCCCATGTCATCTGGCGCCGGCAGCACCACTGGCGAAACTGAAGAGCTGCTACTACCCTCACGGCTACCTCCGGCCACCGATGGTGATGACATCGCGTAGCAGTTACTAGCCAGCGACGCACTGCTGTAGCCCTCGTGGGCAGTGTCAGATTTCACAACGTCACAGCTGCCTCTGATGACGGTGAGCAGGGAGGAGACGATGGCGTCTTTCTCCTCTTTTATCGCTGCGGCGTAGCCGCCGCCGCCGGAGCGAGGCTGCTGCGGGCGCGGCGGCCTTTCCGCTTCCGTGTCGGCCTTTCTCAGAGAGGCGTCGGCGATCTGCTGGATGTGCATCGATGAGGCCATGTAGTCCGATGCGGTAGCAGCAGCGCCGCTGCATGTGTGATCGTTCGTGTAGACCACACGGAACAGCGGCGGGTCCGCCGAGTTGTGCTGCTCCACGTGCTTGCTCGCCGAACAGCCATGATCCTGGTGGTACGTGCACCTGTAGTAGCACCTGCATGGAACGACAGAGAGATGTTTCATTAGTATGTGCTCACTTTTCCATGCCCTTGCAAAAAATGCTCTGGAAAGAGGTGCTAGCTAGGCAAAAACTTGGCACATGCGAGCACTTGGCATCGTGTCACATAGATGATGGATCAGAATTGTTAATCTTGCCGACATGTATCATTAGCTTCAAGGAGCACTGCCTTATGCTTTCGGTATCACAATGTGGGGCGCATTCCCCAAGTATGGGGTATCCCCGATCGGATCTAACATGGGCTGATATTGCATACTTATATCTATTCTAGAACTCTCTAGAGATCCCAAATGCACAATGCTGGAGTCATCCCCCTGACACATCTAAATGTTTCTAATACAAATATGCATGATTGGAAATGCTCGACCAAAATTTACAGCATAATTTTCCAGCTGTGATAGAAGTTCGCTTAAAGCCCACCATGTGACGGCATGCAGATATTGCATACATACCATATAATAGCTCTTTTTGGTTTTTCATTGCCATTTCTCTTAGGGTTAGCTCGGAGGTGCTAGGATTGATCTAGCAGGCCATATGACCTAAATTCGCCAAAATCCTAGCCCGCGCTGGGCCGGCCATGCGTGCGTTAAGATTGTGACAATACATGTGCCAAATTCGTCCAAGGCACGGTCGAGCTTGGACTAGCTGCATGTACTATATGCTAGTATCTTGCAGTTCAAACTTCTAATCTTGTGATAATTAAATTTTCAAAAAAAACTCTATAATTTTCTAATTTGCGGTTAGGAGTGGCTTGCTTAGCGTGTTTAGTTTCAGCTGAAACCAATCCCACAAAAACTTTGGTAAAGTTTTGTTTCCTCATCACTTCGCCCAGTTGCAAATTTTCCAAGATGAGAGATTATTTACAAAATTGTTATTGCATTTTTATATGATTTTTCTTGAATCAAAGTGTGCGGATGTTTCATACTTAGTATGACGCATTGCCTCGTGTCACAAATGTTTTAAATTTACTACTCCCCTCAATCCATATTAATTATCGGTTATCACACTTTGTAGGGAGAATATATTTTTCAAGAATAAGAATAAGTACTATTTAACAGTCTCGAAACAAAATCATGTCATGAATTAGTTTGTAATTATTACTTACACTACATATATTCATCTTCAAAAATGTGACCAGGGTGGTCATGCACAGATTGTGGTACAATTGCGCAACAATCATAGCAAAGACAAATTAACGAAACTTGGTTTAATCAAAGGGCAAGTAGTTGAGCAGGACTGCTGGAGAGCTTAAATAACTTATCCCCCGGTTCATGGGCTAATTAAAAAACCTGGGTGGAGTGCACGAAAGCAGAACATGATGATTCCCTCAATGTATGATGGTACTTTAGTTCCTTTTCTGTTTCCCAATTGGTTCATTACGCTTGTTAATTGCAGAATCCCATTTAGGCATGTGGTTTCTAGGTACACGACAACGTAAAGGTCAGCGTCACAACCTGATGCGCGAACCACAGGTAGCTACCACGGCAGATCAATCTAATAAACCGCACATGCATCGTAGTATATATCAACCCTTTGCGTCGAAGCACACTTGGGACTAAAATACTACCTAAAACCCTGAAACGATCAGACCAAAAACATGCAGCACTTAACTAACATGGGAAATCCTTGAAAGGAGATCAATCACATACACTTTACCAATACGGAAGCATCTGATATGGTGTGTGATCGATAGTGAGTGGGCTAACGTACATGTTTGGTTTAAGTTAGGTGAGAGGTACATATCATTATAGAGAAGCTTTGGTTTAATCCTATCTTGTCTCATCACCAAGGGCTTATGTGAGACCCTAATTAACCCAAAGCTTTTTATGTTTTCGATCATAAAGGTGTGTCTTTTCTTTGTATAACTGAGGTAGTTGTACATGTCTTTATTTCTATGGAACTCTTCTGAATTTATTGGACTGGTAAATATTGCTATTGTATGATTCCTACGAATCAAACAACTTACGAAGGGAAAACAGATTTGAATACTAGTAGAAAGTTTTTTCTGACATTCCCTTGATTTATTTATTTTTTGAAAATCAGGATAACCCCCGGCCTTCCCTTGAAGTGAACATGCTCTAATTAATTAGCATGAGTTCAGACATTGGGCAGGCTAACAATGTTTGCATCAGATACATCCATTAATTTTGAAAACAATTGATAGGGATACTGACATAACATCTATGCACACGCACCTTGGGAAGGCATTGCCCCGGATCACCTTCTGCCCATATTTTCTCCACTGGAATCCATCATGATACGGTGCATATGTGTAGTCTGTTCTCATGCCGATGCGAGACTTCCTATTTGAGGAACAAAACCACATTTAAAAACTTATGACAATATACACTACAACAAGAGAATATATCACATGTAGCAAGTAGGACGTGCTAACCATATGAACTTTTAATTTTCACCAAACAACTATAACTATGAAGTATGAACATCATATAGTAGTACGAGAACTAGCCATGTATATAGCTGCTCAATACTCCAAACCTTTGATCGCAAATCATTTCATTCACATGCTTAGCTAGCTCAGTTTAGGCATGATGAAGGTCCATGGAAGCAATAGCAATTTCCATCGTGTGATAAACTCAAACTTACTTCTTGGTGTGCTCCTGGGCATGGCTGCCGCCACTGCAATCCTGCTGCAGCGTTCTTTTGTTGCTCCCACTGGAGCAGCCACTGGAGCTGAGCATGTTGCTCCCCCTCATGGCCACGGTGGCTTCTCTTGCAAACCTCGCCGTGCGCTGGTGTTGCCGCCCGGCAAAAACCTTCAAGTGTCCTGGCAGTTGGTCGGCGCTGATGGATCCTTTGGCTGGCACGGCCTCGAGTGCTGGAGATGGTGAGTATTATTCTCCTTGTCTACTGCTGCAGAGAAGAAGTGCGTGACTGTGCACTTATATATACATATGCTCTGCGGTCTGCGGAACCTGGAGCTAGATGGCGCATGGAGCAGGTGCGCGCTCGCTTCCAGAATTTTAAATCCAGGGCTTAATTAACCGCAAACGCGGCATCTTTTGGACTTTCAAACTTCACCAACGTACGTATCCCAACGTGTGACACGCGTGGTTGCACTGCTGAACATATACTACTAGTGTACTAGTTGCGCAACAGGGTATTCGTAAGCCGCAAATATACTTTCAGGTGAACAGGGCAGGAGAGGGCGAAAACATTGTTACTATATAGGAGTATGTTGATATGCCGATTTACGTGAATAACAGTATATTTTTTTGGTGGAAAACCCCTAGGATATATATTAAGTAGTATAGTACAAACTCTTACAAAACACTGAATCGAGAAACACCCCCAAGTTTTAGAGTTATCCAAGTTTTTTTCCTCCTACGTCCACCGGCAGGGCGTCCGTGAGCAAAGCTCGTTGCTGTCTTTGGGTCTTAGTCTCAGCGAAGCAAACTTGTGACATATGTGTTTGTGTGCATGGAATCTAATTCTAGCTAGCTTTATCTTAAACTTCTATATACGCATATTACACAGAATATGAAGCTTTATCTCAAAGGTTCCCAATTTCTCTCGATTCTCTCATCAGTGTGGTATAATCTAAGCTATGTATGTTTCAGTGTTTGCTTTGTGGACATAGCTAGTTAGGTCCTCGCTTTCCATGTAGGTGGACTGCACAGATAATATCCATCCATGGATATACATATGTCCACGTGAACACATGTGACCAATTGTCTATGATCGACCCCAAATGGTGGGAAGCTTAAGGAAATTGAACTAGAAGATTTAAATAAAATATTTCATTTTACAATTCTTTGAGGATTTAGCAAGATTTAAACATATTAGTATGAAATAGAAAGAGAGTAGATGAACTGTATGAAAACATTCAGGTAATCATCGGGAAAAACAAAAAGAATATTATATATGCAACTTAAGTACTTAACTGACACTGCTAGTCTCGGCTTCTATCAATCAAGGTCGAATGTCTATTATCATTACTCCCTCTCTCTCAGTTTATAGGGCATACGCGTACCCCTAGGTCGTCAATTTGACCAACCTAATATAAGTCATATATTACAAAAAATATACCAATATAAACTTCAGATGTTCTATTTTCAAACGGTATAATTTTGGTGTTATATAGTTTATATTAGAGTGATAAAATTGGCAACCTAGGTATACGCGCAGGACTTGTAAACTGAAACGGAGGGAGTAGTTCATGCATTATATAAATATGTTAGCCAAGCATAATCCAGATTTATTTGGAGAAAGATTTGCGCAAAAATATTATCAGTAGATGGATGATGCAGTTTTGTTGTCGACGATAGCAATGATAGCCATGCTATACACATGCATGCGACAAGCTCTGTAGTCTATTCCATGGTCAAAACAGGGTCCGGAACTGTTAGCTATATGCATGTATTTCTGCGATTTTCCTCATTCACTATTGAAAAACCATAAATAAAGCATATGCCTTAAATTCAAATACTACAATTTTCCAAAAACATGTATATGTCATTTCATTGATTATTAGCCACTTTTACAGAAGGTGCGCCAAAGAAACTACTTTTTAAAAAAATATTTGGATCTATTATAAAGTTCATCGGAAGTACAAAGGACCTACACATAACCAAAATTACATCGAGGTCCCTGGATCGCCGAATAATCACAACTGCCGCCAAAACGAGCTACCAGCGTGTCGTTGTTGCTGCTCCCTTATTGGAGTCGGACTGGCCTTGTCGATGACAGCCGGGAAGTCTTCGTGTAGATGCCCCTAAGGACCAGCACCCTGGAGCCACATTCGTCGCCGTTGAACCTTTGAATTGATCCGCAGTGCCTGGCATCACATCTCATCACCGCGCACACATGAAAAGAAACCCTAACCTCGCCACCCCAAAGAGATGACATAAATCTAAGCCGGAGCTCCGTTGACTCCCTCCTAGCTGACAGATTCGAGGAGGATCAAACGGCGGAACACCAATTCTAAGATGAAGGGCTGTTATCCATCCGAGCGCCACCTCTGGGGGGAGTAAAATTCACTAACTTGAAGTACTAGCCGGAGTCGAGGCATCGGGATTTCTCTTCCCACCATCAGCCACCGGATCGGTGGCCAGAGGGGAGGAGAATCCACAAGTGGGCCGGTGGAGCACGGAGGAGAGGAGAACTTTGCCCTAGCCGCCTTTGCATGCCGGAAAGGAAAAGAGCCTTGAATAATATATATATATTCTGGCAAAGGGACCTTGAATACGTATTTAACATTATTAAACAAATTTCCGGTTCGTCAAAGAAACTACTAATCCAGAGGGCAAGGAGACTGAGACTAGCCAGCTGGGATGAGGTATTTAGCAGCGCGCAAGCACGGGATCCAATAAACACACCACTTTTGTGACCGAACTGGGGCTGTTGTTTTTCATTGCCTGTCATTTGGTATCTACTAGTAAGCATGTGTTGTGCACTTGTGCTCTGCACCTTCACTTAGATGCGTATTGATATCCTAAAAAATGCATATTGATTTATTATTTTTGAATAAGGGCGATGCAAGTCATCTCAAAAAAATAAGAAAAATACTTCCAGGGGTTTAGAAAGCCAAATAAACTCAAACTTCATACGAGAATAAGGTATGCTGTCATGCTGATGACCTAACAGAAACAGTGAGATCATCCATGTTGCTAAAATGTGATTCATGATGTGTGTTTGGTGTGGAGCTCCCTCGATACGATATCTCTGACCTTTGGGAAAAGAATCGTACGCAAAATTCATGAAACATCCAGGGTCGCTGTCGATGGATCCTCTCTAGCTTACTCTATCTGCACTCCTAGTCATCTATACTCCATTTGACCATCTTTAATCAGATTATGCAGATCTATAATAATCAGTGTAAAGCCACTCATGACAAAGGACTACTACTCGTTTTCGTTGTCACCAGTTGTGTGTTTAATCACTAAGAGGGTGTTTGGATCACTAGATACTAGAGACTAGAAACTAGTAGTAGTCACCTTTAGTCAGTAAACCTCCAAATACCCCTGACTAGTGGGTGACTAAAACTAGTTTAGTCCCTAGTCACCCCACCCCCAACTTTTACTGACTAGAGACTAGTAGTAGTCACCTTTAGTCAGTAAACCTCCAAACACCCCTGACTTTTACTGACTAAAGTACCCCTCTCTCTCCTCTAATTGGTGTTGCACAAGGAACATTTAATACTAAGACATTTAATGCTGACTAGTACTAGTCACCTTCCAAACAGGGCCTGACTAAAAACTTCTAGTCTGACTACTACTAGTCACATGACTAGAGAGTATCCAAACACCCTCTAATACTGTCCGTGACTTAAACTCACACTAGACCCTAAACTAGTCCTTAACTTCACTATCTCAACCACTGCACGCAGATATACGGTTCCCACTACGTATCAACCTTTGAATTCCACGTCCAAAAGTAGGTCAAAGAATCAAGAATGCTTCTCACGCGCTTCAGGCTATCCGAGAGGTCCGTCCACTGTACGGGGCATTGCTGAGGCGGGCCCATCGGCTATTATTGCGAGCTTTAATTTGATCAATCTGAATATTGCAAGATGCTTCGTCCCTGGCTTAATTGTAGTTGTAGAGTGCAAGAGTGGAGAAAGGGTGATGGCATTCTCGCATGCTTCGGGTGATGTGAGCACGGTGACGAAGCTATACTACAAAGGAGTATTTGAGAAGAAGACAGAGCGACGTCCTTTTCGGCAGTCAAAGGCGGATTTAGGTCGCCGGAGCATGCCTTCAGATGGCTTTTGCGAAAGATGGAACGCGGCAACTCCAAGTGGGAGTTGGATTTTGTTGCAGTGTCATTTCGGTTGGTGCTTATCATTGATGTGCCTTTGGACTGCTACACTAGGTCAGCAGCAAAGACTGACTGTCTCGTGCGCGTTGACTATCTAGCGCAACTGGCAAACCGACGCTTAGAGTTATGGTGCATGGGAAAATCTTGATGGACATAGGCCATGGCATAACATTTGAAATGAAAGTGATTGCATGATAGTATCGTCTACTTCTCAAAAAAAAAACATGATATGATTTCTTTCTTTCCACTTACGGGGGAGTGTCGCCCCTTTCTTTTTAGAAAGCGGGTTCACCGTTTTCAAAGTAAGTTGATTTCTGGACTTTAGATCATTAACTAGCACTCCCTCCGTTCCTAATACAAGTCTTTTTAAAGATTTTATTATGAACTACATACGTAGTAAAATAAGTGAATCTACACTGTAAAATATGTGTATATACATTCGTATGTAGTTCGTATTAAAATCTCTAAAACGACTTATATTTAGAAACAAAGAGTGTATTGTTCGAAACAGTTTAGTAGAATAAACATGTATCATAAGTATTCATTTGAAATAGAAGTGGTCATATGATAGTGTCTCGTTTCTTTCCTTTTGTGGGGGAGTATTCTTTTCTTTTTAGAAAGAGAGCCGCCGTTTTTAAAGTAAACTGATTTTTGCACTACAAATCATTAATTAGTATAATCCGGAACAATTAATTATTCATTATTCTCGAGAGAAATTTTTGATCTATTCATCGCCTGTCATGGCAATGCAGACAATACCATAAGTTAAAAAAATACAACCAGATCCATGAACCATCTAGCGACAACTCCAAGCGTCGGAGTGAGCCGAAGGCGCGGCCCCGTCATCAGCTCTCCTTCGTTGGAGCCGAGCAAACCTTGCTATAGTAGACAGTCAAAAATTCGTCGTGCTAAGGCCTCACAGGACCAGTGCACCTAT